ATTGTTAAACAGATAAATCATTTTTATCAGTATTGAACCAGGTGTAGAAGTTGAAGTCACCATTGAAGATGCCTAATCAATCATCTCTTTCAACAGACTGATTTTAACTATTAAACAAAGAGTCAGACACAATTGAACAACAGCGGGGAAGTTAGGGTTTTGAGGGAGTATCAAAATGTGTATTGAATTCTTCTAGTATGAGGGCAGAATTAAGGGAGTAAAAAAAGCCACTGAAGAAAGAGTGCCCTGAAGGTTGGTGGATAACAGCTACCAGAGCTACTCAAAAAAGTGGTTACTGAGTGCTGATGATACAGTGAATGCTTAGAGGTGGCACTGTGGAGCAATGCCCTACCTCAGCCAGTGAGTCAGAGAATGATTGAAAATATAACCAGTGGTGGAAAGGATGGCCAGAGTGGCTGTTATCAGGAGAGAGCCAACTCTCTGTAAGAGTCAGAAGATGGAAGGGGTATGAAAAGAAAAGACATAACAAAAAAAAATAAAGCATTCCAGAGAGTACAGTGGAAATGATGAGTAGTTTCTAGACACTGGGAGGTGGGGGAGGGGTTGTATTGAGGGGATGAGAATAAGGCTGTGGGCAGTCAGGAATGGAGATCAGAGTTTGAACAATGATAGCCTAGGGTTCAGAATCTCTTGGGAGGGGAGAGGGTGACGGTTTATTAATCATTGAAGAATGAGTTCAGATCCTCACTGGGCATTAGGCAGCTCAGACAAGGGGAACTAGTGGTGGGAAGAATGAAGTAGCATTTTTTCTTCTTCCCTTGCAAGCAGATGAGGCCAAGAGACTGGCTGAGCACAATGAAATGGTATTTCTCTCTGTCCCTTGAAGTCAGAAAGAGGCCAGGTGAGGAGACCAGCATGATAGAAGAATCTTTCTGTCCCCTATAAGCAAAAAGAGTCCTCTGAAGACAGGAGGAGTCCAGGGGAGATCTACTACTGACTGAATGTATGTGTGTATACATGCATGCATGCATACATATATACATATGTACACATACATGCATTATATATATATATACACATAAGTACGTGTGTGTGTATACACATATATAGAGTGTGTGTATAGAGAGAGAGTAACTGTCTTAGAAAAGACTTTTGGGATACCCAGTATATATGTGTGTGTATGTACATGTACAAACAGAAAATACAACATATTTTAGGGGTGGAACCTGGAGCTGGAGCTCATGTATGCAGTGGTATTTGATTAAATTTTGAAGGGATCTGGGAAGGATTTTGAGGCAGCAAGGTGTGTAAGCAGATCAAGTGCTAGGCCTGGAATCAGGAATACCTGAGTTCAAATTCAGACTCAGACACTCACTAGCTGTGTGACCCTGGGCAAATCACTTAACCTAATCGCACTGGAGAAGGAAACGGCAAACTACTTCAGTATCTTTGCAAAGAAAACTTCATATGGGGTCACTAAGAGTTGGACATGACTGAGTAACAACAAAAACAGAAGGGATTTTAGGAGGCAGAAGAGTATATTCAAATCATTGGAGGAGACAGAAAGTTGTGAAGGAATCACAAGGAGAATAGTTTGAGTGTGATATAGAGGACAAGCTCCTGGAGGAGATGGGCTTGGTGCTAGCAAAGAGGACCTTATAATAAAGCCACTTTAAGATCAGATGCTTTGTCAGCCTCATTCTTCACAAGAGAAAAATGAAGACTCCTAAGGAAAAGCTTAAATGGACCAAAATGAGATGATGGTAGGGAAAACCTTGACTGGGGCCACAAACCACAGAGTGTATATATTAAGAATCTTTTAAAATATAAACCCAGGCTAGCTAAGTTTAGAGCAGTTTTGAGTCATGCATGGGTTGCAAAAGAGCTCACTCTAGGTAGAAAAGTCCTTCCCAACAACCAAATTAGCATAATTTGGGGATATGGTATGACTGCCTTGTTCCTGTAGTTGAGTGTCAGTTACAGTGGCCAAAGTCCAACAATAATTAGCACATCTCTAGAATAAAAACATTTTTTTTTAATGCACTGATACTAGCTACCAGAAAAATAAACAAATGATTGACTTGGAACAGAAATACTAACAAAAACCTATTAATTTACTTATTCTTTTGCTAAATAAGAATTAGTTATCTCAATTCTTTATATTCAAGCCCCTCCAAATAAAAAATAACAGTAAGAAATCATAGATATGAGTTAAAATTTCTGACAAGAAGGCAGTAAGTTGAAGTGAATGGGAAAGTACCAACAGAATAGAATTACATTAGATATACATTTTAAAGGGTTACATTAGTGTGAAGCTGAAACTTCAGTGATACATTTACAGTATAAGCCATATGAAGATAAATGAGATAGTGATCATTTTGCCCAAGTTTCTTACATTTTCACTTTCAATTTTCAATTTCACAATTCAGTTAGGGGGACTTATCTCTAAGATTCCTTCCAGTTTTAAATTCTATGATATGGCAAAGAATAATTTAATTTTCATATTGATCAATTTACATATTTAACACAATATACACCTTAACTAATAGCAATCATTTAATCTTCACAAAAAAATCAGCAGAGCTGATATGTCATAGGAAGAGTGGAGAAGAGTGTTAGAATAAGACAAAAGTGCCTCACTAAAAGAACAAGTAGGGAGTATAACATTATTGTTCTCATCTTACAAAATTTCCCATAAGCCTGGGCTATACTTTCCCAGAAATGCCCATTCCAACAGTGGGAAGAGTGAACACATACAGTTATACAAATGAAGGGAGCATGTGTGGCCAGAGCACACACATGAAAGGTAAGAAACATAGACTCACAAAACTTTAGAGCTGGAAAGGATCTCAGGGGCCATCTAGTACAACCTATAGCTGAAAAGGAATATTAAGAGGATTATTCAAATCCCTTTTCAGTTCTTTTTTGGCTTCATCTGCCCATGAAAAAACTAGGAATGCTACTGAGCTGGTGTAGGAAATTATGAACTTGTTCTCTGGGTTTGGCATTATCTATTACTTTTCAGAGGGTGGGGAATGGAAGAGGTTTGTGCTTTGAATTCAAGAACCCTAGAGGTATTTTGGGAAAGTGTGCTTCAGGTTTATTGGAAATGTTTCTTTGCTACTTTCCTTACTATATTATTTTATTAGATGACTTTGCTTAGAATTGTGTCCGTGGATTATTCTAAAAGAAAATAAATTGTTGTCAGGCTTGTGAGTTATGATTTTGAGTATAGCACTATCATCCTCATTTTATAAATTAGAAAATATGACATTTAGCAAAGTTAAGTGATTTTCCCAAGGTCACATAACTAATAAGTTGTAATAAGTCAGGACTAGAGCCACAGTTATCTCGATTCAGAGCTTCTTTCTCTGCATCTCAAACATCATTTTAAATTACATTTTCAAACTAAGAGGATTTTCTATTATTTTTAGACTGGGATAGATTTAGAGTCAGATTTGAGGTCAAAAGACACGGTCTCAAATGTTGCCTCTGCTACTTGGTACCTGAATGATCTTGGGCTCCATTTTTAACATCTACAGGCCTCTCATCTGTAAAATAAGAAGGTTTGGCTAGATCAAAGGTTCTTAACTTTTTTATATGTCATGAACTCCTTTGGTCTGATAAATCCTACGGATCCATTATCAGAATGTCTTAAAATGTATACAATAAAATACATAGGATTAAAAATGAAACAAATTATATTGAAATGGTTATCAAAAGATCAAAGAAACAAGGCTACAGCCAAAGATTAAGAACCCCTCTGCTAGATGACATATTTAAATATATCCTCCTATGGAACAATAATTAATTATATTCCATTATTTTCTCTTTCTTTTTTTTAAGCAAATAAGCCCATTTATCCAAGCCAACAACATCCTTCCTCTTTTTAAGTTTTTTTTTTAATTTTATACACCTGAGCAAGAATATTATGCTCCAGATATTTTTCCATGATGATGTTGACTTTGATAACACCTTAGTTCCAGACTTCCAATTTGACTGCATGGTCACATTGCAATAGTAAACAATGAAATTTGTCAATAAGTGATTCAATTACGTTGTTTATATTCATACTAATTCATTTAGGAACTACCAACAAACCTCTTTCTCCATCCTTAGTCATCAAGGTGAGATGAGGTTATGGAATTTATTTCCAGGATGAGAGACGCATCTGTTATTTTCTTCATTCTGCAGCAGTCAAACTGAAATTAAATAAATTGCTTCGATTTTTGCTAATGGTTAGGACGATTAGTTTTCATATCACACGCTGGAAACTGCTACTAGCCTACTGTATCCCGTTCTTCCCCTCATCATACACACTTTGCAATTCCCGAGGCTGGCATTATTTCTAAACGGATAGAACACGGGTCAACAGTCCGTTGAAGGAGATATTTGCAGGTTTCCAGGTTGCTGGCTTTCAACCGACCCTCTTCAAGTCCTTGGGGAAGCTACCCTGTTGCCACAGACATTGGGAACCCGTTCAACTAAACCAAGTAGGAGAAACTGGTATGAAAAAGAAGCGAACAAAATAAAACAACGCACGGGAAGGAGGAAAGAAGAGTGTTGTTATTGTAAAGCTTTTAAAAATGTCCCACTAAAAAGACAAGGAAAGCAAAAATCTACGCCCCAAAGAAGAAAAGGCTTGGGAAAACATCGGAGGGGACTGAGAGCACATTTAAGTTCAGGCCGGCCTCCTCAAGTTTACAGCAGGTGTGGGGGCCCGGCAAAATGAAGCTTTTGGAAAAAAAAAAAAAAAAAGGACTGTTCAGCCACACGTTTAAAAAAAAAAGGCATTTTTTTTCTCAATAAATTTCACGATGAAGAACTTCATGAATGCACCGCGGTTCCATACACTGTGCCGCGTATTCCTTCCCTGCTCCGCCTCTTCCCCCGTGGGGGCGTTTGTTTACGTGACGTCTCTGCTGTAGTAAGCAGCCCCCGCCCTCTTCTCGGTTTGGTCCTGCCCGCCATGTTTCCCGCGCGGCGCGTCTCCCCTTAAAAGGACAATAGAGGCTACGGGGGCGCGCGGAACCGCTTGGGCTTCCACCCTCGATCGCTCTTCTGTGCGCAAGAGCTCACATGCAAATGAGTTCGATTCAGGAGAATTTTGTCCCAGGAACAGCGCGTGCGCAAAGAGAAATCGAAATCTACACCTTCCCGGCCGGAGGTAACAACTGCTGAATTTCTGTAGACAATTTTTCCAGACCAGGAGGAGCAAGCTAACGAAGACGTGGGCCCGGTTGACTTGTAGGGCACACCACACCTCGCACTCGTTATTGAGCGTGGAGAGTCGCTCTAGGAAGGTGAGTAACTCTTGGCCTTATCCAGAAACTGTTTCTCTAGGCAGTTCGAAATTTTCTTTTCCTCTCAACCCGCCTGCTCTAGACACTCTCCCTATGCAGGAAGTTTTGTCTCGAAGTTAGCTGTGCCGGGAGCGCTGCTTTAAATTAATGCTAAATCTTCCAGTTTGCCATACATGTGTTTTATGTGTCCGTACGACTTGCTTTTGTTGTAAGGCAAACTAAAAAGACTGGAAGAGAAGAGTAAAGCGTGCAAATAAGTGAGTGGTAACTGGAGTTAACAGACTCACTTTGAAGGTGACAATGACTTTTTCCAGCCGCAGTTTTTGCTTGGATAAAACAAACCAGTCGACTAAAAAAGGCCCATTTTCCTAAAGTTAATGAGTGAATAATCTGGGAGAGGTCCCATACCCCAGAGTCGTGGGCTTGCTACTGGAGTTGTTCAAACGCTTTGGGGTCGTTAAGCCTTTAGACTCCCCCCTCCATCCCAGTTGTGAGCACGTGTCTTAGTTTGTGTGGAAATTATATGCATTTCGGCTGGAAAACATCGTTTGCGTTTGAGAGTTAGTATCGGGTGGTTTTAAAATTGGTCTTTTTTTCCATAATTGCTTACATTAGTACTTAGCACGCGGTATGGCGTTATTTGCTAAACTCTGGAGAGCTGCGGATGCGACAATGAGACAACACGCGGCCGTTTAAAAATAGCTCCAAATCCAAACCCGAATTCTCCTTGGAATATCCCCCAACGTTCCATGTTCCAGTATAGACTTGCAACATTTGTTTTGTTACAGATTATTCACTTGTAGCTTTGATCTGGACAAACGACAGGCTCCATTACCTGGGGTTTTTCTAGGACGTTATTTTTCTGCAGTTTAAAATGGTAATTTAAACCCAAGTTGACTTTGAGATGAAGGGAGTTCAGTTGACCTAACGATTCAAGTGAGCCCGAAAAGGGACTCATTTTCCATCTAAAACCTGACATGACACGTGCTCCAAGCTGCACTTGTGTTTTTTAGTTTTTAATGTTAATTGCAGTAGCCAAAATGTTTTAGTAATTAAGTTTTGTAGATGATCCCTTCTTCACAGGACAGTGTGATTTTTTTTTTTTAATTCTCATTTTTTTGGCGATGGCGTCTTGCCAGTTTAAAAAGCATAGTGAAAGTCTTAACTATCAGCTCCTTTGCCTGAGATTGTCCTGGTATTTCTATCGACGATGTTACAAAACTTTGATTAAATTTCTTTCTTCCTTTCTGAGGGAACTTGAGGGAGGACAAGGGATAGGGGTTCATGTGTCCTTCCATAGGCGTCCTCGTTCTCTCAGCACCCCCCCCCCCCCCCCCCCCCCCCCCCCCTGCGAAAACAATCCGACATCTCAGATGCTGCACGTAGGCAGAGCCTGGCTGGACAGAAAACAAAGAGGGCTGCATGTGCTCGTGCTCCTGGGTGCAAGATCCAGCCAGGGAGGGCGAAGTGACCGGGTTCTGGTTCGGACTGTTCTGCTGGAGTTGAAGGCTAGTTTCTGGAAAGGTTTTTGTTCCCCCACCCTCTCGTGGGGAAACTTTGGCTGCACACACTACTTTCTCTAAGGTGCCATACTGGGTGCATGGAGGAGTAGGCGTGTGGCTTTACTTTCAGGCAGAGAGGAAGGAAGCTTTCCAGTCCTCCGTTTAAATATAACTCCAGGAGCTAGCAGATTCTAGCAGCGGCTGAGGTCGTGTTTGGGTTTCCGTTCATACCTTTTAAAAAGGTTCTTTTAGATCGCTACCATTGCTTCGTCGGATCTGTGTGCGTGTGTATGGGAGGTCTGTTGATTTGCCTTTGAAGTCGAACTGTTGCCATGTTTGAATTACGTCAGGGTAAAGCCATGAGGAGGAACAAGTCTTAGCAGCGCAGCACAGCACAGCCAGTACAGTGGAAGATGAAGGAACGGCCTGTTGGACTCCATGAGCACAGATGCCGGAGTGGGGTTGGAGTGGCTAGGGCACTGGACTAGAATCGGCTCTTGGGGAAAGGTACCATGAAGTTAACCCAGATTCGGAGCTAGAAGGTGAGGTGAGGAGACCTAGAGAGAAGAATTTTACTTTTCCCTCTTATGGCTCTTGGAGAAAGGGCTGAAGAGTAACTTTAAAGTTCTTAGGATTTTTTTTTTTAATTCAAATACGGGGGCATTATACATTATGGCTTTTATATAATCTGTGCAATTTTTTCTACTAAATTGTCCTCTTCTCCACTAAATACTTTGAAATCAATTATCTAATTAATAAGAGTTACATAGGAGAATTCAGAGTGTAATGAAGGAGGATAGAGAAGTGTATTTAGTTGCAGTTACTGACTTTTAAGCCTTAGGTATCTTTATACACACATATACATCTGTGTTTGCCGCTACTACCTCATCAGATAACCATGAGGAAGTTTAATGGTCCCCACTGTTGCTGCTTTAGGGAAGTGAGTACTGGAACTGAATTCTACTGTGTGTGTCTGTGTGTGTGTTTGTGTACACACCACGAAACTGAATTCTATCTGTGTGTACACATACCAGGGGGAGACCATGATTGGAAAGTTGACATTTTTATTTAGGTTGGATTTGAGGAGGAGGACTAAAAGTTTTAGCCTGTAGGACTCAACTGTGTTTCTTTGTTTTTATTTTCTTCCTGTGTCTTCCAACCTCCTACATTTTCTGGAGCACACCGGAGATTAGAAGATTGTTAAATATAGAATTATTTGCCCTTACAAAGACAAAGCTGCATAAGTGATCCCCCCCCCCTTAAAAGTATTTGCCTTGGGTGAGGTTAGTGATTTCTTTCTCTTGCCACGCCCTCATTTATTGACTTTCCCCCCAAGAGGGAATGGAAAATACCTGTTTGTATTGATTATGAGAAATTCTCAGAAATTGGTTGTAATTAGATTGGTTTATTTTGTAAGATTGAATATATTTAGATTGGTTGCTCCCTTATCTAACTTAAAGTCTCCCTGTTTTGTTAGAATGTTTTTCTGAAGAGCCTCAGCTTAATGATGCATAGAAAGCTGGCCTAAGAGCCAGGAAAAACTGGCTTCAAGTCCCACCTTTTACACATAATTGACTGTGTGACTTTGGGCAAGTAGCTTCTCTGTGTTTCAGGCAACTCTCTTAAATCTGTAAATTGCATGAATTGTGTGGACCTGAGTTGGTAGAGTTTACTCTTCGCTATGTTAGTGAAATCACAGGTATAGTCTCCTTATTTTCTCTGTTGGTATTAAAATTTTGGGGCTAGCCAAGCTTGTGTCAGTTTGGTTATCATGCAGGATGATTTTGGAATCCATGAAAAAGGGTGCTGGTAGATAAGATCTCTTGGGTTTTTCCAGTTTTTGTGAGCTGCTGCTGATTGAACCCCTCTTATCATTTCCTTTTCCTTCTTAAATTTTCCTTTTAACTTAGTTTTTATGTGTGACCCTGGACACAAGTTTAAAAACGGTTCTTTGGTTTTTGTGGGTAGACTACAGTCTAGACATCTTAAAGCAGCACCAAGTCAGCTTGCCTTTTTTCTAGATGTTCCTGATTTCTTTTTGTTTCTCAATAAAAGTTTGACCAAAATGGTTTCAGAGAATGTTGTTTGGTTAATGTGACTGTAAATAGATTTAAAATACATTGTGTGCTCTTAATTATTAGGTTATTTTCACTTACCCTTATATGTTACTTGGTCAGCTAAAGCAGAGGTGTCAAACAACTAGACAAAAACACTCAGTGCAGTCCAAACCAAATTAAAATGTAATTGGAAACAAAACAAAATGCAATAAAACATAGGTAATGTTAGTGGTTTTGTACAATATGTGGCCCACAGGGATCCTTATGTATGGTTTAGTGGCCCCTATTTTTATTTGAGGTGACATCACAGAGGTCCTAATTGACTTGTTTAATACCAGATTTTTTGCAGTGTGGTGTAGGAAACCTGAGTTGTAGTCCTGGCTCTGCCTTGAACTCATTTGACTTTGAAAAGGTCAGCTTTTCAATTCTAGGCCTCAGTTTCCTTACAGGTAAAATGAGAGGGTGGTACTTACACTGAAGGTCCTTACTAGTATAAAAATCTGTGAAATTGACTTGGAAAAAAAATCATTTAAGTAAATTTCATGAAACACTTTATCTTTGACAACATAACTTCAGTGATACTACTTTTGGCACATACTAGCATTAGCCTCTTCTAGCACTCTTACCACGTTATTAATTGTGGGGATTTCTGAATTTTGTTTCAGTGGGATTTGGTAAGTTATGGAAACTAGAACTAAATTCTACAACTTGGGACTTGGTTATTTAGAAAAAATAAGTAGATTTTTGTATTGAACTAATTTTCTTATCTTGTCCAGGTTAAGTGGAGGGTTCTTTTAGTTTGTCCTTAGAAAGATAAGGCCTTGAAAGAAAATTAATTAGAAGAAACTTTTACAAGACAGTTTTGTACCAAAATTTAATAACTCATAATGGGCAGTGTTGACTTATGGTAGAAAAGATAGTGAAACATATATAAAATCACAGCTACAAAAACGCCTATATATAATACGTCAATCAGTTGCCACTCTTGCCACTTTCAATTCGTCATGAAATATACTTTATTAAATTCCTAATGTGCTATGAACTGTGCTGGGTTCTGTGAATACAAAGACAAAAAAAATTGTAGTTCTTCTCTCCAAGGAGCTTGCATTCTTAGCTATCTTTATAACTTGTACCCTTATAAACTGGCCCCTTTCCAATCTTCTTACACATTATTCCCCTCCATAAACTCTAAGGTCTAACCACACTGACCTACTTGACTGTTCTCAAACTTTCCCAGTGCCTTTGCTCTGGCCCCCCATGAAATGGTTTCTCCTCATCCTAAGGATGCCTTCAAGACTCAGCTCCATCAACATGACATCATCTTTCTGTAGGAGGCCTTTTCTTGGTCCCCTTATCTGTTAGTGTCTTTCTTTCTCAGGTTATGTTTCATCCACTCTGTATATGTATCTTGTATGTACGAGTTTTCTACTCCATTCAAATG